TTTTTTTTTTTTGCCCTCAATATTTTTTCACTCATCAATTTCTCCTATCACTTCCCGCCAAAAACACTCCACTTTCTCTACCTTTTTTACACCTTCTTTTTGACCAACCCAGCACACTTTTATGTGGACTTTTGTCCCACCAATTGAATGATATGGGTAAAAGAAGGGAGACACCTACACGCTATTGTCCATTCCCTCTGCACATTAATAAAGAAAAGAAGTCTGCTCTCTTGCTGTCTTGCATGATGTACATACATAGCATGGGACAAAAGAACGAATATAAAAAATATTGTGAACGTTATCACAATTATAAATGACACCACATGCATTGTCATACTCGACGCAGTGTGGATAAGACCCATCATAAAAAAGCCTGTATGTATTTCGAATGACATATTTGTTTATTATGTATTAGAAAATGTGTATTTTTTATGCTAATAATTTGTGTAATGTATTTTTTATGCTAATAATTTTGTGCTTTTTATTTAATGATGTATTATAATTTCATTTTGTATTTTTTAATATTAAAATGATATCATATGATTACACAACTCATTTTATTAATATTGGCTTATGTGAACACAAACTTCTTTAAATAAATGCTCGGAACTCCGAAATACTTGATAAACGTCCCGCATGAAATCGTGCCAAAATGATCTACACGTCCCAACTCGATTCTCGGTAAAGCGAAGTCACACAAGACCTTGCAGGACCCACATAAAAGGCTTTATTTCTGTCAAAAATTTTACATAGATAATATTCATAAATATAGCAAACTATTTGAAAAAAAATAAATTATTTTTTTTTTTTAATTTTTCAGTACACGAATTTTTTTATTGTTATTGTATACTTTGTATTAGTAAATGTATTTTTTATGCAAATAAATAATTTGTATACTGTTATTTTTTAAGCTAAATAATTTTTTGTTTTATATTTAGTGATGTATTATAATTTTATTTTATAATTTTTTAATATTAAAATGATACCATATGAATAAAAATTTACACAACTCATTTTACTAATATAGGCTTACGTGAACTAAAACTTCTGTAAAAAATGCTCGGAACACCGAAATACTCGATAAATGTCCCGCATGACATGTGCCTCAATGATCTACACGTCCCAACTCGATTCTCGGTAAACCGAAGTCACACGCGACCTTGCGGGTCCCATGTAAACGGCTTTATTTCTTTCAAAAATTTTACATAGATAATATTCATAAGTATAGCAAACTATTTGAAAGAAAAATAATAAAATAATTTTTTTTTTGTATAATGTGTATTAGTAAATAAATTTTTTATGCTAATAAATAATTTGTGTAATGTATCTCCTCTCGTTTGTGCTAATAAATAATTTGTGTTATTATATAATTTGAAACGCGAAATAAGCCAATTCATATGTATTAAAGAATTGTCTTTGTTGCACATGGGTTATTTTGTACGATAATTTCATATGTATTAATTTGAAGTGAACTTCTACTTTTTTGTCAGGTGTGTCGTAAAATGTTAAGAAATGAACTGATAAATAAAATGAGTGGTGACAAATTTTAAAATAAAGTGCATTATAGTTGTGGTTGAAATTTACTTCTAAATTAGAACATAATCAGTTTAATATAATAGAAAAATTTTGCATGCAAAGAACATGTAATTATTCATTATGTGAATTAATAAAGAAAAATATAAAAACATAAAACAATATAAAATACGCGTTTTTTTAATGAATTTATTCATTTTTTATATACTAACCCAAATTTAATTAAAAAACAAGATAAGACATACTTGTGTCGAAAGTCTCGCAACAATATTAAAAGCCATAATAGTTGTCTTTAAAATTTGGAATACACTAGTAATAAATAAAACATAATAGCAACTACCGACGTCTGCCCCCTTGATAGGCCCATAAGGCGGAAGCAATCGAATCGCGCAAACCAGACTGTTCACGCACACCAACATTAGATGTATCTAAAGTTGTCATCAAAGGCATTGTATAATCATCTTCATCTGGTTTTGGTATGTAATCCGGGTTTAGAATGGCCGGCGGTACATTCTCGAACTTTGGGTGCTCAAGGATGAAATTGTGTACAACACAACATGCGATAACTATGTCTGTTTGGAACTCAATCGTGTAGTTTGGCATTAGGCCTTTTATAATGGGGAACTTACCTTTCAATATACCAAAGCTACGTTCGACCACATTACGGACAGTGGCATGACGTCTGTTAAAGAGCTCTCTTGCATTTTTAGGTGTTTGATTAGAGTGAATCCACTCCGGGAGATGGTACCTATTACCACGGTAAGGTGACAGGAATCCCGGGACATTGGCATAGGCTGAGTCGACCACATAATATTTTCCTAATATTCAAAGTAGTCGTGCTAATGAACCAATCTAGTAATGTTATTTTCACTTCCCTATCAATAAAATTTTCTTCGCATATATACGAAAGGGGGAAGAAAAATAAAGACATACCCTCTGGTGGCCACGGGAAAGTACTTGTGGGGTCTGTCAATGTTTCACCAAAAATACGAGCATCATTTGCACCGCCTTCCCATCCCGCTAAAACGTAAGTGAACTTGCAATCAAAGTCGCACGCGACCATAACATTTTGGGACAAGTGACCTTTTCGACATCTGTATTTCCCATGATCTTCTTCAGGAATCCAAGTCGGTATGATGGTTCCGTCGATGGCACCGATGCAATCCTGAGGTAAGAGAAAACATGTCATAAATTGTTGAAGTGATTCATGAAATACAATCTGATTATGTGTTTTACCTTAAAGTATGGATATAGATATCGATTCTTTTGTATCCATTGAGGAACACGAGTAAAATCCGGAGGACGTATGTATTTGAGAGCCAGTGTGCAAAGGGCAGTGATCATGATATGTACATGATTACTAATCGTCTCTGTAGATCGTCGAAATGTCTCTGCAGCATGTCAATGTCTTTGGTGTCCTTTTATCGTATGCAAGAACACCGCAACACTTTCTTGGATGCGGACCTTTTGCTGTATTGCATCACCATGACAACCCGTCCGTTTTATTTCTTTGCAAAGCAATTTGAAAACTTTCTTGTTCATAACCATTGCATCGTAGAATCTTCTATCGTGCCCCATGAGGAGTTCACTAATCCAATCCTCCCCGTTGTACGTGGAATGCCTATACCGCATTCGTGTCATAGGCGGATTAAACTGAAACGCATGATGAACATGCATAAGTTGTTGGCGTTGAAATTCCAGCATATTAGCATATTGTTGCAAACGAGATAAATGAGACGGCTGAACAACAGCATTGACATCTTCATCCATGTTGTCGTTTAATTGTCCACCGACATCATTTTCAACATCATCGTAATCCTCATCTTCATCAATGTGCGACATCCTACAATTGGAGAATTTGTGGGAACTACTTTTCAAAATCAAATATTTTTTGTAAATGATAAAAACACAACATCAATGACCAAACTGAAATAACAAGTCAGATAATATGATGTAGAAACATAATCAATGTCAGCACAAATGCATACAAAAAAAACAAGAAAAAAAAAACACACAAATTCATCAAGGTTCAAAGTAGCAGGTATTAGTTCCACTGAAATTATGAAATAGTTTGCAGGGCAATAAACATCAGCCCTAATGGCCTTCCTCATCCATCCACATATCTAGAAGGGCACGCTGGTTTTCCTCCATTTCCATTCCAAGAAATGTGTAAAGGCTACACGGATCATGAAACTTCCTCCAACCAACCTTTCGAACCAGCATAGGAACACCAGGCAAGGACTCCAGCACCTCTACAGCATGTTGGAGGCTTGTTTGATCAACTGGTGGACGCGCATTTTGCTGGATTGTGCGGCTAGCTTTAGTTATAGAATTCATGGCATTGTCGAATTTGGAAGTGGACCCTTGATAACGATGAGTGCACCTGTCACTATCCGGGGTGTTCATTGGCTCATCACTTAACTCGTCGGGAAACAAGAAGTTGGTCGTCACTGTGGTGTTGGTTCTACGACGCCTGCTTGTTTCTTCGGGTGGCTGTGTAGATGCCCTTGCACCGCTACCAGTTGCCGTGTTTCTGATAAAAATTTTGGTCAACTCACGATAGTGCACGCAAGCCATCATTTTCATCTCCTTGTCCTTTGGACGCACCTGTTTTTGGAAAACCGTAGATCCCTACGTTTTTTTTTTTTTTAATGAAATGTAAACAAAGAAAGGAAACCAATAATATTTTTGTCACCAGGATACAATTTCAATTTATGAAAATATTTTTATTTTTTTTAATCAAATGTAACAAACAAAAAAGGAAACCAAAAATATTTCTGTTAAGGCACCAGGATAACCACAGTTTCAATTTATGCAAATATTTTTTTTTAATAAAATGTAACAAACAAAAGAAACCAAAAATATTTCTGTCAAGGCATCAGGTTAACCACAGTTTCAATGTATGCAAATAATTTAAAAAATTCAATTGAAGGTGAAAATACAACTAGTCACAACAAACAAAAATAGAAACAGATGGAACAAATAAACTAACCGCGAACCACCGGCTCCAAACTTCGTCACCGCCCGTGAGCTTTCCAGTCTCTGAATTCCAGCTGAACCCAGTTGTATTATGCAGCATATTGTGGAACCGACGCCACTTCACTTACAACCGATCATGCTTGCTCGTGATTTGTGTTATCTCGTAATGGTGTTGTGGACCACACGCTTTGTTCAATGCTTTTTGAATATTCATCCAATTGCTTGTTTTGAACTTCTGGTTGATGCACTTCCCCAAGATGACTTCGTCTAACATCAACGATATTAACCGGGCCTCATTCTCCGGAGGCCACTTTGCTTCTCCTTCTTTAGGTTGCGTTAACCCGTCTACAACCGACGTCGACTTCTACAATGTTTCACCACACACAGCTCCGAGATAATAGGAAACATCTACTCACAGCAAACATAATAGGAAACAAACATGAAACAAACATAATAGGAGAAAAAAAAGGAAACAAATAAACGCATCAACCCCATACAAATCGACTTGCACGAGACACCACCAACGGGCCTTTAAGCACGTAATTCAATCATAACGAAAGAATCATCATCTCAGCAGGCCCGACAGTGGAAAAGCATAAATGAAACAAAAGGTCCCAACATCCAATTTTTTTAGCAACAATAATAACAGGTGAAATCCCTAACTAGTAGAATATAATTATGTACTTTCATTTTGTAAGTAAACCAAAAAAGATACACAATTCGCAAAAAATATGCAATCCTTAAAAAATTATGAATTTTAATTTATATAAGCACACCAAATCAGAATCCCTTTTCTACATTTTCGGGTAGTTGAAGGCACTTAAAATCAGTTATAAGAACAAAAAATGTACAGAAATTTCACAAATTGAAACCAACAAACCTTTCTTCTTCATTTCGTTTTTTTTACCGGAGAATTCACCGACACACTGCCGGTGCTTTCGGTGTGCGGATCGGTCCTCTCCAGCGGGTCCTCCAACGACAGAACATGTGGGATGGAGTTGCGGAGAGACAGATCTGGGGAGGAGTTCATGGTTTTTTCGTTCACAGAAGAGGGCATTTTATTGAAGGAGATGGCTTCTTGAGTTTCAATATTGAAATGATGTGCTAGAGTTTTTTGTCAGAATGGTTGGTGATATTTAATTTAATAATACATATCATGTTAATGTGGGGAGCATCAGCTGTATTTGTGGGCCTGCCACTGAAATTGAATATGTAATATCCCGATATTTAATCGGTATAAATTATGTTTAATTCCGATATAGTAACGTTATTGTTTATTATTTTCGGAATTAATTAAGTTC